AAACATGTACTTGGCAACTGTTTTATGATGATTTTGAAATACTTTCAATAAGATAATTGAGAAATAATTGGAGGTCTTCGTTTTTCGAGTCTTCGTTTTGTAGACACCCATATAGGGTGTCTATAAAAAGAAGACCCTTGAAAATTTTACAAACAGACGCCCCAAAAATGTCGTAAATTTGATTTTGTGACAGCATGGCGTATTATCATCAAAATGAACGAGAAAAAAATAGGGGTCTTCGTTTTTGGGTCTTCGGTCGTCGTTTTATAGACACCCCTTTTTGTTCCACAGTTAGAGCAAAACATGGCTTGACACTATGATGTAGCCCTGCTGCGCATCTGACCTGACCTCAGTCTGTTGCCAATTAATATGAAATGCGCGCGCGCAAAGGCTTTTCCATTTTGTTTGCAGGGTTTCCTTTTTTTGTTTGCAGCGTTTCATTTTTGTTTGTTTGCAGCATTTCCTTTTTTGCTTGCAGCTTTTTCTTTTGTTTGCTGGTGTTTTTATTTTTTGCGTGCAGCGTTTCTTTATTTGTTTGCTAGTGTTTTTATTTTGTTTGCAGCGTTTCTTTATTTGTTTGCTAGTGTTTTTATTTTTTGTTTGCAGCGTTTCTTTTTTGTTTGCAGCATTTCTTTTTTGTTTTCAGTGTTTTCATTTTTTGTTTGCTGGTGTTTTCTATTTTTGTTTGCATCATTTCCATTTTTGTTTGCATCATTTCTATTTTTGTTTGCATCATTTCTTTTTTGTTTGCATCATTTCTTTTTTTGTTTGCAGCGTTTCTTTTCTGTTTCCATGATTTCTTTTTTGTTTGCGGCGTTTCTTTTTTGTTTGCAGCATTTCTTTTTCTTTGCAGTGTGTCCCTTGTGGGCCATCGTAAAAACTGTATGCTACTGAAGTGCTGGGATAAATGTTATTCATCGCGATAATGCTACTGCTACCGATCACAATAATACCGTTTGTGAAATTGTGGCACAATAATATAGGTAGGAGTGGTGAAATAAGTTTATGGTACAATGACAACCAGCAAAATTTAGATTTTTGTTAAATCAAACTTTTTGATTTTCTTTTTAATATTCATTGAATTGATTTAAATGTCTTCGTAGTTCTTATCAGGAAAGAATGCAAGGTAATTATCATTTTCATGTTTAGCGTGTCATGTTTTCAATTAAAATGTTCCATAAAATAAAGTGTTAACTTATGCCTATTTTTGTATCGCCGTGTATTTGCTTATGATAGGTTCCAGAAATCGAAAGTGGCATAGGACTCACCTGTTTTATATCTCAAGTTAGACAGTACAATCTTGCCAATTGAAGGCCCAATTTACCGATAATGACCGTCAACTATACGAATGGTTGAGTAACAGAATACAGTATTACCACATTAGACAATATATCTAAACAATCTAAATATTTTCATCTCATTTAACTAGTTCAAAAGCTTCATTTTCTATTTCCAGGCCACATGCTTGCAATTATAACAAACTACAGTCAGTAGAATAAGCCAGTACAGAATAAGCATAATAAACAAGTAATTATAATAATGCAACAGTGCAACCATTCCCTTTACAACTGAACCTTAATTTTGGCAAGTTAATAAATCAACTATATACCCCTTTTAGCTGAACCAAACCTAGAATCAAACCAGAAACCGCTAGGAGTGATTAGTTACTTATTTAGAGGTCAATAAAAGGAGATGAAATGGATATCCACATCATGACAGCCAAATAAATCCACAGGAAAACAATGACACATGCATAGCTGGAAAACGTAGAAAGACCACGTAAAACACATGCCTATTTGTAACACAGGCACGAAGGTATATGTTAAGGTATTAAGAGGAAATTTAATTAAATCAAATAATTGTCAATGCCATTATTTATACAAATCCTTATCGGCAATTTCTGGATAGAAAGTGTTTCTGAATATCTTGATCAAAGATCACTTTCGTCATTTTTATTATATTAGGACTATTTTTAAAACTTTAAAGCTGACTCAGTTTCTTAATAATATGAAAGAAAAACAAATAATAGGAATAAATAAGTGGAAAT